ACGGTAATCAAAATCATACACTAGTCTAAGGGGGTTTTGGTGACATTTTTTAACTGCTCAAGTTCATTACAATTATGTATATGAGTTTTTTCTTTTAATTTTTTCTTTAGATTTTTATTTAAGCTGTCAAAAATCTGTAACTGATGTAATTAATGCAAATTTCTGGGTGAAATGGCAAAGGTTACTATGCACTCACATGCCCAGCCTGCATACAACACACAATGACCCATAGCTTATTTTCGTTGCCACCTTATGTTTTTGCTTGCACTAAGTTGCCTCTTTCTTCCAGTATTCATAGTAGCTGACTGTGTGAGGAGAAGGTTGTACAGTAAAATATGCAGAGAGGCTGTTAAAGGGCAATAACGGAAGAGCTAATACTGCTATTGAAGTAGGAGAGGGATGGTTGATTTGGTCTTGATCCTCAGGCTTTGAGAGGCAGGAAGAATCAGCTATATAACATTACTCTCTTTTTGTCCCTTCCACTTCAACCCTATTTCACAGGAATATTAAATTCCTTTAATGGTCTTTGGAGGTTAGAGTTTGAGATAGCAGACAATACTAAAGGAAGGTATTTTTTTCAATAAAGAGATAATAGGAAGAGTGAACTTCTTGGTGCCTGTGAGGTACTTAATGGCATTGCTGTAGCCAGTCAGGGTTAAAAATAATCTCGCAATGTGAAAAACAGTTTGATTCCTTAGTCTGATTCTCTGCCTTGCCCCCATCAATAATTTCATGGGAGCAAGCAAAGTAGCTGACGCTGCTGGAAGAGCTGCCTGTAGAAGCGCATAGCTTTAAGCTGCAACTGGTGCCCTGCGCTGTTTAGAGTGTCACCTCTCCTCCCGGGTTCTGGCTGCGGAGAGCTCAGGGGCAGGAGGCCTTCTCAGCTGCTTACTGTGTGATTGCTTAGGGCATTAGTGTTGGGGTTTAGTGGATCTCTTTGTTTTGATGATTTCTCTTCTGCTATAGAATAGACCGTTTCAGCTGGAAGGGACCTCCAACGATCATCTAGTCCAACTGCCTGACCCATTCAGGGCTGACCAAAAGTTAAGGTGTGTCCTTAAGGGCATTGTCCAAACGCCTCTTAAACGCTGACAGACTTGGGGCATCGACCACCTCTCTAGGAAGCCTGTTCCAGTGTTTGACCGCCCTGTCAGTAAAGAAATGCTTCCTATACAACTGTCCTCATTTCGGAGGTCTCTTGTAGCATAAAATTCTGATGTGGAAAAATTCAAAGCTGGTTTGTTTCCAAATTAGAAAACTCCCCATTGAGCTCATTTTATGGCCCCACCCGCCCCTCCTGCAATGCTTTCCAGTGAGCTACAGCAAGAGTTTTTGCACTTAGTATTCCTTTAACGTTTCTTTCCTGTTCTCCCTCTCCTCCCTGTAACAGTTGTTACGTTGTATGCCACCCTGGGTGAAGAGGCAGTAACCTATGGTCTCAATGAGTGTGGAGCATCATATCTGGTCACTAGCGTAGAACTTCTCGAGAGCAAGCTTAAGGTAATTTGGTACCAGCTTCACATGCTTACAAGCAACCCTGTAATAAGTTTACAGTGCAGTCAGCGCTAAAAATTTTATTTCTCTTTTATAGACTGCATTGCCACAGGTGTCCTGTCTTAAACATATCATTTATGTGGACAAGAAGACTATCAATAAATCGGAATACCCTGAAAATGTGGAGATTCATAGCATGCAGACAGTAGAAGAGCTGGGAGCCAAACCAGAGAACTGTAAGTGAATCACTTCACAGAGGATTAAGCAAGCAATGTTAACAGTGAAATCAGAGCTAGGTTAAGAGGGATGCGTAGCAGAAAAAAACCCACCCGTGCAGGTCTCTAACACAAAGGCAGTGGCAGATTGCCAGTTCATCCTCTGGCTTCCTTTAAATAAACAGAATGTTTGTTTGATCTCTATTTATTGTCCTGCACCTTTGTTCAAGTGTCAGGTATTTCAGGGTAAAACTTGTATTTTTAACTTCTAAACTATAACGAGAATAATTCAATTTTAAGACTCCACCTTTGTTTTAGGAAGTGAAATAGAATCTGGTGCAGGTAAAAGTAGCAGAAAACGGAACACTTTTATTCATCTTATGTTCACTATTTTTCCTAAGAAAAGAGAATAAAGCACTTGAGGCTTTTTTTTTTTTTTTTTTTTTTTTTTTTAACC